TCTCACACATGTCATAGCATAGATGTATGTCTTGGAAGAACACTCTTTTGTCCAATACCTAGACAGTTCCTTTTCTTTGCCTACGTGAAGCAGTCGTAATGTCCTATTCACCTACCATCTAAGACATTCCTTTCAACCAGTAAAACATGCCGCATCATACCAGGTATTGATTTCAATATACGCTATCCCCTGCATCTTGAAGAAAGGTGATGGCAACCTAGGCATGGACATTAGACGTAATATCATTAAAAGTGTGTATATACAACAAAGCCCCTTAAGGCAGGGCAGCCAAGCTGGCGGCCTAAACATCTGGAGGGTATCGGCCCAGTATTTGAACGCCCACGCGCCGAGTAAGATACAATCACACAGATCGTTCACTTCGTTCCCCTTTGAACTACAAACTCGACCGGAAAGAGCGGTGGAGTTCTCATTCATCCTCCCACGGATCCATCTCATCATCATCATCATCATCCATATCAACCTCGAACGTCGTGCCCAGTGCCTCCTGACCTTGACGAATCATATCCTGAAGGCGGACATTGAAATCATTAATCCTGTTGTCCGTTGCTTTCTCCTCTTTCATGCGCCTCGAAGCCAGACTCCTAGCTTCGGCATCCAGTCTGGGGCTGTTTTTCTGGACTTCCTGAAGCGACTCCCTCCTTCTGATCTTCTTACCCTGAGAAGCATCCACAGCCGGCATAGCGCTTTGAGTCCTCCTATGGCCTCGCTTGGCGTATGGGCTCGGACTCGGTATCCGAGAGGGTTGATGGGAGAAATGTGATGTCGAGATAGTGCTGGGGGATTGTGGACGGCTGATAGGAATGGGTATCCTGCTCGGCATGGGGGATGTCACGACGGGCGATCTGGAGGATGCGAAGCTTGCACGACTGGCAGGTTCGCGGTCTATAGCTGGTGAGAAAGTGGCTTGGCTAGCTCTACTCGGGGGATGACGATTGAAGTTCGGAGTACTCAGGCGGCCAACAGGCTTATTGATGTGACGGGCTAGAGACGGTGTGATGGGCTGCTGAACAGGAGGCCGAGATGGGGCACGCGATGCCGGCGAGCTCGGCCGGGTTGTATTAGCTGTCTCACCAACCATAACCCAGTTTTTTCGGATTTCGTCATTCGGTCGCGGGTCAGAGATCTGTCGCCGCTTCGCGGCAGGCGGTGGTGTGGACTCAGGAGTACCCTGTTCATAGTAGATTGGCTCTTCGAGTTCGGGGAAGCCTCCAGGAAGAGGGGTGCAATCACATTCAAGTGGTGTGTCTACAGGTTCGGGTGAACGGTAACTTGATCGTAACTGTGTCTCGCGGGAGACATTATATCCTCGCCCCCCTCCAGCGTAGAATCCACGGAAAGCACCTACGGTGCAGAAGTCCCAGACTTTGCCCACGACGCCGCCGATGGTGTTTATGGCAAATGCACTCCAACCAGCAGAGCTGGGAGACTGCTGAACTCCACTCATTGGTCTCCAAGCCGGTGAATCAATATCGTCATGTGGCCGCTTCGAGCCAAGACCGCGCCTGTAGTTCACGTCGGAGCAGACGCTGTCCTCAATATGTGCAAGCTCTTTCTTGGCCGCTCCGAAAAGCGGTGAACCTATGCGGCCGAAAACGTACCTCCCGTCCTGCCCGTTCAGCCGCGACCCGTAATCGACGGAGGCACTCGGCGTACCGTATGCGGTATCGACCGCGGAATTCCAGTCGCTGAAAGGTGTCGACTCTCTCGGCCCGGGTCGTTTGCGCTTTGCGGTCGGACCTCGTGTCGCGGTGTCGGCTTGCGCACCAGGCAGATAAGCTGAGGTCGATAGCGATGGTGATCCTGGGGGACGGAATATGCCTGGATGGACCCCGGAAAGTGAGACACCTCCGGTATTGGACACGGGGCTGTCGAATCGGAATGCGTTAGACATAAGGCTTCCAGGGCTAAATGACATCTCCAGGATTCGATCGTGTCTAAGGGTTGATAAGGCCGTCGATAAGGGCGCAAGTCCCCCTAGTTGCGGTGATGGACTCGAATGTAGAGCGGCTGAAGGAAGGCGATGGTCGTTTCCGCCTGCCAGCCGTTGAATGCGAAGAAATCGTGCACACCTTCACGTTACAGTAATCACGCAAGTGTGGTATCTAGAGGTTTCAATTCCAATGATGCCAGTCGTTGTATCGCAACCCACACGTCGCCGGGTTTGTGAAGAGGTCGTGTCGCCTGCCGTCTGGATCGGTTACTTGGGATGGCTGAGGGTGATTTGGGTATGGGGTTTGGACGGGATGGTGCGAGTGCCTTCGGCTACACTTGCAGAGCTTGGTTCGCGGCGGGAGACGGGCGTGAGCTACAAGTCGATGGTATCTAGCAGTCCTGCGTCTGCCTGGCTGATGTGGCACTGGTGTGCTGGCCCCGGCTAGATGGCAATGGCGATGGCGTCGCCCGCAGCGCGCGTCGATCCCCCAGTCGCAGACGACACAGGTGACCCGAAGGATCCAAGCAGGGAAAGCAGGGAAAGCAGCGAGAGCATGTGGCACGCGTGACGTAGGTATTGGGGATTGGAAGGTACCGTGGGTGGTGGTGTTGTCGTCGTTCTAATGGTGTTTGCACGCTCGGCTTCGACTCGTAATAAAGCTTTTTGGATCCTGAAACTGTTGCATCCGTTTTCATTTCCCATCTCGCTCAATGCCATCAGGGGTTGCATGTTCGCCTAGTGTGCGACTATCAGTTTGTTATAATTACATCCCGTTGCTGGGTCAGCGTATTCATGACACGCCCCACTGCTCCCATGCTGCCCGGGACACGATAGGCGTTACGCGAGCTCGACCTTGACGGCGAATTGCGTTGCTTACCTTACCTAATTTATATATAACAGAATGCGACTGTTGTCCTACTCCAATATGCGGGAAAACGCAATAACAGTGAATCAGGTTCTATGGGTACGAGTATAGCATTCCGTGTGAAATGGAGACGGGCACCGTCTCCCTCGTCATGTCATAATGCTACCTCATTTGCTTTCGTCTAATCGCGTTCATCGTTGGACGGAGAGTCCCTTAAGTCTATTATGCACCCGTCCTTTCTCATGATGCGATCCCTTCTTCAACTTCTAAAATGAATCTTCAGTGAAACGCCGTGCTGAAATCGATCGTCGTGACGCGAGATAACCACCCGTCTAGTAATGATTCTGATCAAGAGGCCGCATGATTTTCCTTGTTGTAGTACGCTTCCTGCTGCTTAAGCTTCTCAGCGTCCACGCCGCCCGCAGCACGTTCCTCGCCGTGAACATGCTTTACCTGGCCCCAGAATTCGTCGCGCTCTCGCAAGAGACTCTCCGCCCACTCCTTGATTTCCGGGAGCACGATCTTCGTGGAGACGTAGGCGAACTCGCCGAGATCGAGCGCCTTGTTGGACCGCTTCTCGTACTCCACCATCTGCGCCAACAGCTCGACCTTGTCCAAGTCGTGTACGTAGTGGCTGTCCAACGTCTCCGAGTCTTCGTACTCCTGCCAGATGGCCCGGATCTCTTCGCCTGCCAAGCCACCGTACACCTTCCCGAGCAGGTTCTTGGAGATGTAGTCCATGCTCTCGGCCTCGCGCCGGCTTTTCTCCGGTTTCGCAACGCCGTCGACTGGCGTGATGTCCCCGACGAGTGACTCGGCCATGTCATGGATCAGGCACATCTTCATGCATTTGAACAGGTCGAGTTTCGGAGCGAGCGACGGCGGGCAAAGCATGCTCATCAGTGACATGCGGTACATGTGATCAGATATCGATTCGCCTCTATGATGGGTAGCCATTAGCTCTGATCTCTACAGGCCGTCTTGCGCGGACTTGGTTACCTTTCAATCCCGAACCGCCGCCATCCTTCCCGCTTGTTCGTCTTGAGTCTTTCTAGGAGGTGGAAGTAAGAGATAGGGGTGTCGGTGTCCTCGGCGGGGGGTGCGGGCGTGATCGTCTCGAGGACTTTGTCTACTGACCATGGGCCAGAAGTACGAGGTGCAGGCACGATACCTGGGTCTAGGAGCTGAGGCGTTAGATGCTGGCGAAGGCGAAGAATAAGAATGTGCTCAACTGACCGGCAAAGTTTTTGCCACTACCATTGGTGGCTTGCGACGACATCTTGACTCGGTGAGCGACAGCTGGGAAATTATTCCGGCTTGACTGGGCTGCGGAGGGAGATGGAAGGAGAGCAATGCTGGCTGGTTGTGTTCGCAAATGCGTTTCCTGCGTGGGTGGTATTTGGGAAAGAAGAGGTCGAGAGGGGAGGAGTAATGACAGACTATGAGATGCTTGCTATCAAACCAGTCAACCTGAGTAGTACGGCTTGCCTGATATGTTGGCTGCTTGGTCTACTGACTTGTTTTCCAATCGTAGGCCTACACTGATTTCCCAGGGCAAGCAATTGACGACCCCACTACGATTCCCAAGTGGTGGGGGACCATGTGTAGTGGCCTGTGATTACAACTTGCAGAGGCTGTCATTGGGCACTGCCACCGGAATCTTGGGATAGGTACTCCGTAGTATGCGACTAAGGCTTAAGCAATCCACGAAGACTTGATTTCTTTTGCCATTGCGCAAAGGGAACATGATAGCATTCAGCGTCGGAGCGGTGTAAGCTGTTGGGCTAATTACCAATATCTTGGAACTCCTAGGCGGGTTTACCCTGATACCTCTACCCCCGGGTTCTGGATAGATTGGGCCTCCCAGTGCGCTTTTATGAACAGTTTTCAATCCGAATGCGAATCGTACGTATGATATAGAATACATCAAAGGTTGAGATTCATGTTGGGATATTGGTGCTGCCTTTTGACTTTGTCGTGCCATTTGGCTGCTGCACTATTTGCGACTCGCTCTTCATCATGCCTTCCAGCGGACATCCCAGCAATCCACCCCACCCGGCACCGGCTCGGCGGCCCCCGCCAGAGCTAATTGGCGCAGCATCGCCTCTGGCGTCGCTTCAAGTCATTGTTAACATAAGCTATTCTACCAATCACTCACACAATCAGATAACAACTCCGAATTCCGAATTGGTGTAGTGGTTAACATTTCACGCTCTCAGTTCACGCTTTCAATTCGAGAGCGCGGTTGTAGTGCCGTGGAGCCCGGGGTTCGATTCCCCGATTCGGAGCATATCTTTTGTAATTTTTGGATCATTCAGCTATGACAACAACCCTTTTGCACTCTCTAATGTTTTTTGGTCTATTGCCTCTCTGTATCCAACTTGCTTCTATACTTATTATCGTCGTCAGATGTTTAAAATCCTATGCGGCCGCTTGCTCTTCACCTACGCAGGTCAACCTACCTACCCTACATACGCACTTAAATTTTACCCCTTCATGCTATTTTGATTTTGCCTGTTTTCATCTCGCGCAACCACTCATAGTATTGATTGGAGTTAGTAAGGCACGCAGTCGTTCTTTCAAATGCGTATGAAGCTGGCAGGTCATTAACGCAATTGACAATATCTTCATATACACACCCTATAACATTCACAACATACCTTCTAAACAAAAATCTATCAATCTGAGCTGTGACCATAATTCAAATTTCTATTCAAATGCTGATTGAAGTGATTATCCGAAGTTCGAAAGAACGATTAGGTCAAGGCTGGTGGCTACAGTACGGTATGAGTACCTTCAGCGTCCTGAACAGCCGTATTACCATAAGATTCCATACTACTACCACCGTCACCAGCGCTGATACGCAGAGCTTACCAGCCGAGGCGGATCGGAGATTGAATAACATCACGAAACTTCTGTCGATCGATAATTTCCTACAGAGAGCTATTCCCGCATATCTGTTTAACAGTTTTATGATTCTGCATATGTCAAATTATCAAGAAGCATATCGTGGAAGCGTAGCATGATACGAACGTCGGTCCGATTTTGCATTAGCTCATGCCACCGCCAGCCAGCATTCATTAGCGCAACCAGCGCACCCCTAGAGTCATATAGAGATTCTACTAAGCCATTGTACGATTCACATATTTACGCGCTGTATTCTGAATCCTTCAATAAGTCTCCCCACACTATTTCACAATGAGCAGAATGGCAAATCACAGCTACACTGGAGACTTTCAAGTGGTGGTAACTAACTACCTTTATTAAAAGAAAATCAACGCATAATCAACGCATCTGTAGACGAGCTAACTAAGATATGCCCCAGCTTCTCTCTCGGAAGATCAGTCGAGATGGAAGCGGCGTTGTGCCTAGATATCTAGTGTGCTGCGTCCAGATTTGGGAAAACTGAGTTCAGGGATAACATTCATCGCAATCTTGCCAAGCTCGATAGGAAATATCGGTGGCGGATGCAAATACTCTGGTCGTGTTGACTGCTTCAGCAGAATAGTGGCGAATAATTCCGAAGAGCAGAAGTGTTGAGAGGCTCAATCTATTTGCGGGCGAGTACCAGTGGCGATGCTCCCGTGGCTGACGAAGAAGAGGGTATTATCACTCCTCATGTGGGTCGTATCCTTCTTCCTCGCCCTCTTCCTCGCCCTCGTCATATTCCTCTTCTTCGCCCTCTTCCTCGCCCTCGTCGTCCTCTTCATCGTCCTCGGAGACAAGTTCGAAGTCTCCTTGTGCATTTATTTCAAGGCGACCGAACAGCGACAGAAACTCCTCTACACTGAGTTGCTCCGGGCTGGCTCTAAGAACCTGATTGATGTTATTTTTCTTTCGAAGTTGCACCGCTTCCATACGGATTTCAATGGTATTCTTCGTGATGATTCTGAGAAAGTATGTTTCTTTGGACTGCCCAATCCTAAACACACGGGCAAAGGCCTGGTTTTCGGTTGACTGGTTCTACCAAAGATCAACGAGAATCACGCGATTTGCGCAGGTGAAGTTCAGAGCCGTAGAGCCCAGCTTGAGAGAAACAATCTGAGCATAGTCAATATAGCTCTATGTTTTGTAAATCGTCATTTGAAACGTACCATCACCTTGAGCTCTTTGTCATCATAGAACGCTTTCTTTGCTCTCTCTTTTGCAGCATTGGACATGTCGCCATAGAAGTAGAGAAATTTGATATTCTCCGCACATAGCATTCGACCGATGATGGCTCCGGTTGCCTTGAAGTCCGTAAATATAATGATCTTGTCATCAGGGGCTTCAGCTTGCCACTTCAGAACCTCGTCTTTGACTGCGGTGGTTTTGGCACTTGGCACCACAGGTCCATGGTTTCGATCCGACTGCCGGAGGAAACTAGAATTGGACCGGCTGAGTTTTGGATGTACGCGGAAGTAGTCTCGTCCTTTCTTCCACTGCCTGCTTGTAACGCAGAGAGACCTCTTCACAGGGACAGCAACATCATCGTCGGAGTCCTCGCTCTCGGATTCGCCAGATAGGTCGAGATTGGCAAGGGAGTAGTTACACTCGGGACACTTGGGAATCACGCGACCGTCGTTGTATTCCCCTTGGATGTAGGCTTTGAGACACAGCTTGCAGAACGTATGCTTGCACTATAAAGCGCAGCCGAGTTAGTGAATGATTTCTGTCAAATATCATCTGATGAGCCTTACAGTTGCTTCGACTTCATCGACTATCTCATCGTAGCAGATTCTGCAGACGTCTTCTTGCTGTGATGCAAGCGCAATCTCAAGTTGCTTGTCCATGTTGAGTTCATAGCCGAACTGACTGCGTCCAAAAGTTCTTGGCAATCCCGTTTCTCCACCTGCCGAATTTTCTGCTGGGCCAGCTTGTTTGACACACCATGCTCGAATCTGCTCATAAACAGGTGTATTGCCCAAAGCACGTAGCTTGGACTGGATGGTCAGAAGATCCTCCTTTACCAGCGTTTTTTTAAACACCGGTTCTAGTAAAAAAGGGTGGGCGACGCCTTGTCGAAGTCTGAGAAGAAAAACGATGTAGATCTTGACATCCTGGATCCGAATTTCCTTGCGTCTTTTACGAATTTCTTCCAGACCGCGATTCATTAAGGTACGAAATCGTGACTCGACCGCTCTACGAAGTTGTAGTTACTACATCAATAGGTCACGGGAAATGGCTTACCCGTAAATGACCCTTTCCTCTCTCGTCAGACTTATACGTCTAACTTCCTCGTGACACAAGGGAATATCGTAGAGTGCTCTGCCCAGAAAACTGTCTGCCATGGTTCTGTTGCATGCATTAGTATAGGCAACTAAGAAAGTGGAAGACTCATACCTTTTGAACATGATTTGCGAGACCAACTGGCCAAGTTCAAGCATTGCCCTCTCCTGCATACGGTTACTTATCATGTCGGAGGCTACGGAGTAAGAGGACTTACATCGCCAATGTTCCCATATCGTTTCTTGAACTCTTTGAAGTTGGTGAAAGGACCAGTTCTGAGGAATTTGAAGTATGGATATAGTTCTGTCACTTGTTAGTTCAATTCCTCTGAACGCCGCCTTCAACTCTTCCTCATACCATTACTCGAGTTAGTAATAGGCGTGCCTGACAATGCCCATGGATATTTGCAAGTGAGTCTTCGGCAAGCTATTGACCCTACTCCTAGTCAGCAGTACTCCAGTACCATGCCAGAGTCGTACCAAACTCACACTGGCTTTCCCTGTTCTTGATATTCTGGGATTCGTCCAGAACGACCCGGAACCATGGAATCTTGAATAGGTTGCCGAGAGGCTTCCCCCACTTGTCTTCTATTGCTTCAAAACTGTCTTCTTCGGATATGCCTAGGAGCAATCGCTCATTTCGACTCGGGAATTGAAGTCCAAGCTCACTGTAGCTAACGAGACTATAATGGTGAGTGTTAGACATTGATCCATTTTGATGAGTCATAACTTACACGACGTCGGCGGCTGCCACTAATACAAGAGGTAGCTTCATGCTTTCTCTGTAATGCAGTACTGCGTTGATGTACTGAGGCTTGACATGCGCCTTGATCTCGTTTTCCCATTGCGATATCGCTGCTGCAGGCATCACGATGAGTGTTGACTTCTTGTATGACACCAGATCTTCTTCGTCGGGCATATGCGAAACAATAAGAGCAAGAGTCTGAAGGGTCTTGCCCATGCCCATCTCATCGCCCAGTATTCCTCCAGGCGATCCGTCCTGTGAAAATTCTCTGAATAGCATCCAGGAGGTACCGATCACTTGATGATTATGTAGAAGGGTTTTCATGCCTGCTACCAACCATTTGCCGTCTTTCGCGATGCACTTGTTCAACCCGAACGATTGAGTAGCAAGGTCGAGGCTGCGCTTGTCGTGCACACTGTACTTCTTGTCTTTCTCGAGAACGTTCTGCATCATTTGTTGGAACTGACCTGTTTTGGTCGTGGCCGTAATAGGAACTGCATCTGAAACGATGCCTTTCTCAATGCGTGCCTTGAATGGGTCTGATTGACGTAGACTTTGCATTGCGGCAGATGATATCTCCTCATCCCGGGACTTTCGACCTCTTGCCCGTGGGCCGCCATGTTTCTTTGGTCGATTGAAACCATCAGCACCTGATGAACCCAATTGCTCTTCTTGCCGTTTCCTTTTCAGCACCACGGCTCTTGAAAAAGAGTTGCGAATCTTTTTGTAATGTCCGGGTCGGGCGAACCATTCTTTCGAGGTTTTTGCTAATAGGACACGTTGGCGCTTGATCGTCTTGTCACGCGCGGGCGAGCTGTCACTGTCGTCCGTTATCGGTTGAATGGCCTCGCTTTTTGTCTCATTACTGAGACTTGACTCTCGCTTGATTTTGGTCGTTGTGGAAAGAGGTCGTGTCATGAGTGTGTGTTCGTTGACTTCATCGTCGCAGTCTTCGTCTGAAGTAGTGTCGTCTGTCAAGTCTACCACATGCTGATCTAAGTTGTTAGTATCGCCTTCAAACTGGTTCGGATCTTCGATATCGTCGTAGTCCCTGACGAAAAGCTCGTAATCGCTTTCATCACTGCTGATACTTGTAGGCTCCTGATTATCTAATCGGTATTCTGGCGTTGCCCGATGGTTCAAAGAGTCAGCAGAGATTGTCATGTGAGGGCTTGTAGATTGAGCCTGCCCATTTTTACGATGCGGCTTGGTAATAGCACCTTCCATACTCTGAGATTTCGGTGTGTCGTACACTATTTTCGAAACGGGATGGCCCCTCGTGCGCTGGCCAGACCGCACTGTCGAGGTCTCTGATTTGACTGAGGCATCAGATTCG